AGTTTGCGTGCCATTGCCGAGACTGCACGCTCGCCCCCGTCGCGAGGCAGACGCCTCAAGGACGTTGCCCGGCGGCAAGGCCGGCGGTCTTGCATTCTCACGTCGGACCCTTACCAAGGTTAGTCTTCTTCGAGAAAGCGCGCCACAGGGGGACCCTTTTATTGAAAAGGGTGTGTGTGTTCGCAGAACCCCCCCCCCTCCCCTTTAAAGGGGAGGTGGGATTTTCGATCTTCCCCCCCTCCCCCCTGAAAGGGGGGGGGGGGGGGTCCTGGGGGGGCTGGGGTCGGACCTCCCCCCCTTCCCCCCTCTTGCGCCGAACACGGGGCTGGGGAGGGAGCCTCTCCCGCTTTTCTTTTCTGCGCTAGAGAAGGTGGGTAGGGAGTACGGAGTAGGGAGTAGCGAGGAGTAAGTAGTGAGTAGTGAATAGAGGGTAGTGAGTAGCGAGTAGGGCGTTGGAACAGGGAATGGGGAGTAATGAGCAGTGAATAGTAAGTGGTGAGTACTGCTTAGTGAGTAGTGAGCAGCGAGTAGTGAGTACAGAGTAGTGAGTAGTGAATAGTGAGTAGCGAGTACTGAATAGGGAGGAGGGAGTAATGAGTAGTAAGTAGTGATTAGTGGGTAGTGAGTAGTGGGTGGTGAGTGAATAGCGAGTAATTGGTAGGTCGTGCATAGTGAGTAGTCAGTTGCGAGAAGAGAATAGTTAGTAGTGAGTAGTGAGTAGTGAGTAGAGAGTAGTGAGTAGAGAGTAGGGAGTAATGAGTAGCGCGCAGTGAGAAGCGAGTAGTGAATAGTGAATAGTGTGTAGTGAGTTGTGAGCACTGAGTAGCGAGTAGGGATTAGTGAGTTGTTGTTGGTGGGAGTGACTTGTGAGTAGCGAGTAGGGAGTACCGAGTAGTGGCCAGCGAGTAGGTCGTTGTGAGTAGTGAGGAGTGGGGACAGAGCACTCAGTAGTGAGTAGTGAGTGGGGAGTAGTGAGTAGCGAGGGGGATGAGCGAGTAGTGAGTACTGAGTAGTGCGCAGTGAGTAGTGAGTAGTGAGTAATTGGTAGGGAGGGGTGTGTAGGGAGTAGTGCGATGGGAGAAGTGGGTATCGAAAACTCAGTAGTGAGTAGTGAGTAGCGAGGAAAGTAGTGAATATTGGGTGGTGAGTCGTGAGTAGTGAGTAGTGAGTAGTGAGTATCGAGTAGTGAATAGCGAGTAGTGAGTAGTGAGTAGTGAGTAGTGACTAGTGACTAGTGAGTAGGGAGTACTGAGTAGTGAGAAGTGAGTAGCCAGTAGTGAGTAGTGAGTAGTGAGCAGTGCGCATTGGGTAGCGAGTAGGGAGTAGTGAATAGCGAGTAGTGATCAGTGAGTAGTGCGTCGTGACTGCTGTGTAGGGAGGAGGGAGTAGCGAGTAGCGAGTAATGAATAGTGAGTAATGATTTGTGGGCAGTGGGTAGTGAGGAGTGAGTAGTGAGTAGTGAGCAGTGAGTATTGGGTAGTGAGTAGTGGTTAGTGGGTAGTGAGTAGTCATTTGTGAGTAGCGAGTAATGGGTCGTGTTTTGTAGTGAGCGGTGAGTATTGAGTAGTGGGTAGTGAGTAGTGAGTAGTGAGTAGTGAGTAGGGAGTAGTGAGTAGGGAGTAGTGAGTAGTGAGCAGTGTGTAATGGGTAGTGAGTGCTGTTTCGTGAGTAGTGGGTAGTGAGTAGGGAGTAGTGAGTAGTGGGAAGTGAGTAGCGCGTAGCGTGTAGTGAGTAGTGGGTAGTGATTAGTGCGTAATGAGTAATGAGTGCGGCTTGGGGCTAGGGTTAGGCCTTGGGGTGAGGGTTAGGGGTTAGGGTAATTAGTGTTAGGGCCGGTAGGGTTCGGGTTCCGGAGCCAAGGGGCTCCGTGGCGGAAGGGGGGAGGAGGGGGGGGGATTCGAATTTGGCGGCCAAAGGAGGGAGTGGGGGGGGGGTCGAACCCCCCCCCTTTGTGAAAGGGGGGAGCGGGGTTGGGTCCTCGACGACGGACCGGGAAGTGGGGGGAGGTTGGGTGGGGGGTTCCCCGACGACGGACCAGGAAAAGGGGGGAAGGGGGGGGGTCCCCGACGACGGATCGGGGAAAGGGGGGGGAGAGGTTCCCACCCCCCCTTGGGGATCCTTGGGTACATCCAGCGACGCGCCCTCCCTCTTTGAGACGCTGGTTGGCGGCAGTGCGAGCCATCGTGCGCCCACAGACTATGCACGCCAACCCCCGTCGCGAGGCTGTTGCCTCGAGAACGTTGCCCGGCGGCAAGGCCGGCGGTCTGTGTAGCGTGGCGCCGATTACCAAGATTGTCTGTTTCTGGACGTTGGCAGCAGTGCCAGATTCCGCGCATCCAAGAACATCGCCGGGTGAAAAGTCTGGCGGTCCGTGGCCTTCCCACGCCGAGGCGTTTCCAAGGTTCGTGTTCTTTTTTGGGAGAAGACTGGCGGCAATGGCGAACATCGTGCGTCCGCAGATTTTACACGCCCGCATCCGTCGCGAGTTTGTTGCCTCAAG